TTCCAACCCTAAATCTATGAAACTATGAAACTATATATATATATTTTAATTCTTTGAAGCTCCCTGATTACTTCCTTTTGGATAGGCAGGTGGTTGTTAACTGCTATGGCTCATTAGGAATACTAAATTAATTCCTGCGGGCACATGCTTTAATGCAGTTGTACCGTGAAGAGGGGGTCAAGTGCCTTTTCTCCCTTGCCCACGTGTTTCCCAGGGTTAGCACAGCCCTGAACTGAAGTCCTTGCCCCCAGTGGGAGGGAAAGGGGTGCTCTGAGGAGCGTGCTGTGTTGTCTCAGATCACACTTTCATCAAAGCGAGGGTTGCCAACTCTCGTTGAATCTATTCCAGGAGGTTTCCAGAATGCCAACGTGCCCGCGACACATAACGCAAATGTGCCCACGTGCTTGCGTGTATCAGTTGTGGATAGACAGGCGCATAGACTATGTCAGGAAAGCAATTGAACATTACTGTTACATTTTTTAAAACCCACTAAACTACTGTATAAATTGAATTCAACAGTTAATATTTATTTTAATGAATGACTTATCATTTATCTCCCGAGTGACTCCAAGCAGTCCCTGGAGATTTATATCTAATTCCTAGAGACTCCAGTGCAATCCTGGAGGGTGGGCAACCCTATGAAAGCAACTGCTGATGCCCCTAATGCTCCTTGCCAGGGTCTGAGGCCTCACATTAACTGGCCAACTAGAGCAGTTCAACAGGAAAACAAGGGCTCTGAAGAAACTAGACAGCCAGACAGAGAGTGGGTAAAAAGTCAGGTGTACGATGTCTCCTGGAGGGCTTCAGGGACTGTTCAGAGACTGTGACAACCCCTTCTTTTAAAGCGAATTGTTTTGAGCGAGGTGTCAACACTGAGCATGCAGGTCCTCTAGCTGATGGCAAAGCTGTTGGGTTTCCTTTGATCTCGTAATGTTGCATTAGACTAGTCCCAAAGGGAACAGTGCCCATCTCCACCAAAACTGTGGGTGTTTCAGAAATTCCCAGTGATTCTCTAATGCATCCACCATTTTCTTTACTGTCATTCTCAGGTTTCTCCCTACCTCAGCTACTCATCTATGGCTATGCCAGGTGGGCACAAATCCAACAATATTGGCCAGCCTCTGTGGCTACCAGCTGTAAATAGCTGACCATACAGGAAGCAAGTCCCTGCATGTTTGCAGTTTGCCAAGCTGCCAAAACCACTTCCAGAGGCAGCACTGCAGTGCAAGGAGGAGGAAACGCACTTATTTTTTTTATCCACACTTTTCCCATCAAAACTTAACACTTGAAAAGAAACTTCTGTGAACCAAAAAAATAACTCAGTTGAGCCTCTCCAATAATCAATGCAAGGACCAACCAGAAGAAAAAGGGCTCAAAGAATAAGTATCAGATAAAATAGAAAGTGGTCCACATCCTTCAGATTTTAGGCACAGAACACAAGGGAAGAAGAGATGAGAGAAAAGAGACCAGTATCATGCATTAATGGGTGAATCGTGAATTATAGAAAACAGGGGCTGAAAGGGACTTCATAAGGTCATCTAGTCCAACCCGCTGCTCAAGGCAGGATCATTCCTTGTTAAATGATCCCAGTCCAGTGTCTGTCTTGCCTGCCTTTAAAACCTTCTCTAAAGATTCCCAGCTTCTCTAGTTCACCCGTTCCCATGCTGAACTACCTTCAGAGTGAGAAAGTGCATCCTAATATCCAACCTAAATTTCCCTTGTTGCAGTATAAGACCATTATTTCCTATCACTCAGCCTAAGACAGTAGTCTCTCACCATCCTCTGTGTGTCGCAGTGTTTTTAAGCCTTCCCGGAGGCATTGGGGGTTGACTGCAGCACATGCTGGGGACTCTGACTGGGTCGTGCCAGTGCTTCTGCTGGGAGCAAAGCTAGAGGTTCATGGCTACAGGGTCTTGCCTCTCCACCCAGGGTCACCCACTGCCAGATTTAGGGTCAAGAAGGAATTTTACCCCATGGTCAAATTGGTGGTGGGGGGGGGTGCCTTCTTTTGTGGCAGGGGAAATGGCCCCCCAACCAGGACCTCTTGAGTGTATGTTGACAACATTTTATAAAAGCAAGACATTGGCTGCTCTGGGTTTCCCTGCTTCACCTATGTTAGGCCTGTGTTGTGTCAGGATTGAAGGTAATCTTATGTCGAGTATAAATTATAGTAGTATGGGATGGTTTGGATAGGGATGTTTCTGCCTCAGGCGGGCAGGGTTGGACCTCTGGAAGTCACTTCCAGCCCTGCTCCTCTATGACTTTTTATAACCACCCTACATGTATTTGAAGACTGTTGCCAAATCCTCCCTCAATCTTCTTTTCTTCAGACTAAATAAACCCAGTGCTTCCAACCTTTTCCTGTAAATTGTATTTCCCAGATATTTTTTTTTTGTTACTGTCTCCTAGATTCTTTCTAATTTCCTTGCATCTTTCTTGATGTGCCATGCCCAGAACTGTCCAGTACTTCAGGCGTGGCATAGAGTGGAAGAATCACTTCCCTTAGCTTGCAGGTGACACTCCTCTGTTTGTCCAACCTGGTAAACTATTGACCTTCTTTTGCATCAAGAGCATAGTGTTAATTTATATTCAACTTATGGCCCAGAATAACTCTCAGGCCCTTTTCTGCATTACTGCAGCCTAGCCAGCCATTCCTCAGTCTGTATTTGTGCAGTGTATTAAAATCATTTTGAAGACTGATCCTACCCTGCAAAGTGTCTGCAATTCCACCCAGCTTACTGCTATATGAAAACTTGCTAACTGTGCATTCAATACCATCCTCTGCATAGTTTGTAAAGACTCTATATAGTGCCAGATCCAGACCGATCCCTCAGGAACCCCACCAGATACCACCTACAAATTAAAAATTGAGCCATTGATGCACAATTGCTGAGCACAGTGATCCAACCAGCTATGCATCCACCTACAGGACTTTCATCTAAAGTGGATTTCCATACCTTGGGCATGAGAATGTCATAGGAGAGAGGTTCAAAAGCCTTGCTACCATCAAGTTACATCACATCCACTACTACCCTCCCCTCCCCTCCATCCACAGAGCCTATCACCTTATCATAGAAGGAAATCTGGTTGAACACACATCATGACTTGCTCTTGGTGAATCCATGATGGCTGTTCCTGAACACCTTGTTCTCTTCCAGAGCCTTAGAAATAGATACCTTGATGACTTGGTCTATGATCTTTCAAGATATTGAAGTCAGACTGACTGGTCCATAACTCCCTGAATCCTCGTTCTTCCCATTCTTCGAGATGGACACTGGACTTGCCTTTTTATCATCATCAGGAGACTTCTTTTGATTTGCACAAGTTCTCAAAGCAGCTCAGCAGCTCAGTGGCTCAGCAGCTACCTCAGCCAATTCCTCCAGTACTGTAGGATGCCTCACAACCAGTCCTGTTGATTTGAAAACACCCAGCTTCTCTGAAGCAAAAGATATCCCAGTTTGTTTGTGTTTACAGGGCAAAATCATAAATGAAAGGAGATACAGTGATTCAGACTGTTTGGTCCTGTAAAAAGATAACCAGAAAAGGATGTGAGCTGAAGCAAGGCAGAAGTGTATAGGGGATTCAGTGTCTACCCCTCTGTATTTTTTAGTCTGGACATTGATGCCCTCCAAACACTAGCAAGACTGGCAAAGTCCCCCCAAGAACTGAAACATCAATATTTGATCTCAGATTATTCCCCCACGTGGTGGGAGAGCAACTCTAAGGGCAAAAACACTCTTAAACGCACCCTCTATTAACTACAAGAGATAGGGAGCAGGTCTTAATGCTTTGGACATCTTTGAAATGCCTACTATAATGTTAATTAAAACTGGAGCAATACATTAATGAGTCTCCTGTCTGTATTTCATATAGCATTAATTGGTAAGTTATTTACGATGCTCTACTGAGGATCTAGCATTCAAATGCATATAAGGAAGGATAGTGTTAAGGTTGTTTTTGAGCCTTCTACCCTAAATATCTATTTCCTAGCTTTTGGGGGCCAACGTGGTGATCTTGACTTTCTACCAACTCTAGCTTTTTTCATGAACTAGTATTTTATTCAAGTAGCAAACAGCTGATCTGAAGTACAGTGAACGCTAAAGTTACCTACCCTCCATGTATCTGTAAGCTAATATTGCAACTGACTTCTGGAATTGCTTTCACTGGGTCCTGCTCATACAGTTTCTTAAAACCTATCAATATACCACATTCAGTCACAAGTTTCTATTCATAGCCTAATAAAACTGTCAGAATAAAATGTTTGCAAAATAAATCCTCATAGCAAGTTGCCTTTGGCCAGAATTTTAAAAGTACAATTGTTTTATCTGGGTCCATAGTAACCTCAGACATAAATGCAACTTGGTTTAAAGGGAAAATATGCCAAGACCGTAATTCTCCCCATTCAAGTAGAATGACTTCCTTTAAACAGGATAAGCGTGTTATTGTTATTAATAAAGGTGTTGTGGACATGAAAGGAGTTGTTTTAGAAATTCTGAGATCAGCCGCAATGCATTGCACTTTAGGAAAATGTATAGAAATTTCAGCAAGATGCTATGAAGCAGATCATGGTGGTTTTCCTTTATAAAAATAGAAGTTTGTACTTACTGCAAAAGGAACCTTCACGTCTTTTTGACCTGCCATTAAATGCTATAATCTTTTCTTGTGAAGCAAAATTGTAAACACAAATGTTAGCAAAAAGGTGTTCAGAAATATGAGAGAACTTCCTTTTTATTAAACTGAAAAGAAATTTTCTTTGCAGTGCTTGTGTTTATTAGACTACCACACTACAGTCGAGTGTAGCAGCGATGTGTTCAAAAATCCCATGCACAAATTATCTTCTTGAGCCATTGTTATCAGTTTTCATGATTTTATCGGGGATCTAGGAAGATATCGCTATTGATTTTTCTTAAAGTCCTAACTCTAGAAGACTTGAATCTTGAAGGAAGCTCTTCCTTAAAAATCCAAGTAGGTTTCTCATTCCCGGGTTGTGGGGCATGGGCAGAAAATATGAACAAAAAGGCTCAAAAACAGATGGGAAATAGCAAGACCCTAAAACACGTATTGAAAAAAAACCCTCAAGGCTATTATGAGTTTCTGGCTCATAGCTTCTGAATTTTTCGATTTGCCGATAAGACTGAGCCAAGGTACTGTTTGGTCTTATTGCCGCGGACTTCCTTTTCTCAGCGGTGTCATTGTCACTGTCCTCCTTGGGTGCTACAGATGTGTTGACAGCGTTGAAGTCTCAGGAAATGCAGTGCTGGCAAAAATAGGATCCAGGAGATCCCAACATCAGTGCTGTCTTAAAGAACCACCCCAGGCTCGGTTTGGTGGCAGAGGCTCAGCCAGGTTTATTGTCCACAAGATCTGATCCTAACACACTTGTGATCTGAAAGTTATTTCACTTAGAATCACAGACAAGGAGCGGTGAAGGGACCTCAGGGGGTCACATCTAGTGCAGCCCCCTGCTCCAAGCAGGATCAGCCCCAACTACATCATCCCAGACAAGGCGTTGTCTAGTTGCGTCTTGAAAACTTCCAAGCATGGAGATTTCACAACCTCTCTGGGTAGTGCAATGGCCGCTTCCCTGGCTGTCACTGGCAGTCAGGCTCATCTCCACTGGGTCTGTTACTCTTTCACTGGCTCCCAGATCAGCAGGCAGCATTTTCTTTGAGTCCATCTCTTGCCTCCCAACAAGGGTATCTGGGAGGCTGTTCTCTGCTGGCAAGCATAGCACATGGTGCAACAAGGTGGATTTACACCTATGCCATGCGATAACAAGGTCAAACGGTCACAAACTGTGCTGCGACCAATTCAGGCTGGACATAAGGAAGAACGTCTTTACTGTCCGAGCTCCCAAGGTCTGGAACAGACTGCCGCCAGAGGCGGTGCAAGCACCCACTTTGAATGCCTTCAAGACACATTTGGATGCTTATCTTGCTGGGATCCTATGATCCCTGCTGACTTCCTGGCCCTGGGGCAGAGGGGCTGGACTCAATGATCTTCCAACGTCCCTTCTAGCCCAAATGTCTATGAATCTATGAATCTATATTTATTCACCAACCATGCACTCTCAAGAAAGACCTGCATCTTGTTTTGGAAAGGCAGAATGAAGAAAAAAAATCTTCTTTTTACCCAAACTGTGCAGAATCATGTTCCTTGTGTAAGTCACATACTCCAGTCTTTCCTTGTTAAACTTTGGGAATAAGGTGAGTGCAGTATGTGAATAAATAAGGTACTTTGCACCTCTGAGATTCATAGAATCACAGAAAATTAGGGTTGGGAGGGAGCTCAGGAGGTCACATCCAGTCCAACCCCCTGCTCCAAGCAGGACCCACCCCAACTACATCATCTCAGCCAAGGCTTTCTAGCCGGGTCTTAAACACCTCCAAGGATGGAGACTGCACCACCTCTCTGGAAGGCATGTTACGGTGTTTTACTACTCTCTGTTGTCTTAGAAATTATATTTAAAGGCCATTTTTGAGGGGAAATTGGTTAATAGGTATAGATATATGTATTATGAGGGGTCAAGATGAGTAGCAGGAGTTAAATTGATTTGGAAGAGCTTGGGAGACACACACACAACTTCTCATGGCCCTGAGAGCAGGCGGGCTGTCTAGCCCAACCAGACCAATGGATGGGCACAGCCTGAGGATGGAGGGGGGCATGCCATAACATGAGATCACAGGCTTCAAGGCAGACAGGTTGTTTAACACAACAAGTTCACAGCCTGGGAACCAAGGAAGTATGTACCATACTGTCCCATAACACAAGATAAGTGGCATCAGCTACAAGGTCCCAGAAAGTAGACGGGCCTGAGTCCCGGTTGTGGGGAAACAGACTGAATTAGGAGAAGGCTATGTGCACGTGTGACCTCAGAGAGACAGCCAACCAGAGATAGCCACAAATGAAGAGTCATCAGGAGTCATCAAGGGGGAAGGAAAATACAAAAGCGAAGATAAGAGATCCCCCTACCTTGGGGGTCTTCAAGAGGAGACTAGACAAGCACCTGGCTGGGAACATCTGACCCCAGCGATCTTTCCAGCCCAGGGCAGGGGTCGCACTCGATGACCTACTGAGGTCCCTTCTGCTCCTAACAACTATGAGTCTATGAACAAAGGGTCCCTCCCGTATCTCCTTCACTTCCTTTCTGTCCCACCTGGGTTCCTCCTCCTCCTTCACCCTGTGAGGAGTCTGTCCCCGTCCCCATCCCCCGGAAAGGGTCCCTAAGGCCACTATGGATGCCGAGGCCACTATGGACCGAAAGTATACCAGCAGCCGGTCTCATGCAACCCACTGCGGGGGCTGTGGGCCTCGGCATCCCACCTCCAGACTGATGACATCTGACACCCAAGAACGACCCTCAGAGCGGAGCCTGCGTCCTGGCCAGATGTACCTTGACTCTAGGATTGCAGATGGTTTGTATTATTGCTCTTTGTTATCACTCCATGAATAAACTCACCTATAATCAACTGGCAGGCATTATGGCCGGCTTGAGGGTTGTGCCCGCCCAGAACAAATGTATAAGGGCTGGTTCCTAAAGCCCGTGTCAACAATTGGCAACTCCGCCAGGACACAAGGGCATTAACCGGATCGATCAGGGAATTTGTTGGTACAGAGTGACCCTTTCTAGAGGGGTTAGCTAAGGCTTGTAGGAAGGTAGAGCTGCAGGGTTGTAAGTTGTGTGCAGAGGTTGTTTGTTACTGCTGACAAGGAGACTTTGTTTGCCTAGGTCAGGCAAAGCAGTGGACACAGGTATGTGCTGTCGTCCACTTGGGATTAAATAAAACCCCCCTGTTGTGTTTGCAGTAGGAAGCTAGAGAGCAGAGACAGACACCTCCCTGTTGAAAAGGCTGTGTGAATGAACAGGGTCCTTTGACTCTGAGGTCCTTAGGAATAGTTAGTCTTTTGTGGATGGGTACAAGAGCAGTTATGTGTTTGCTGTGGAGTCTGTAAAGTAGAGGTTACAGGTGCAGGTTATGGCAAGACAGAGTGTTATCCAGGCAGTGCCACTTCGGAGAGATCAGAGACAGCTGAGAGGCATGTTACCGGTGACAGATACTTTTGGATCCCATGTGCACCAGAGAATAGAGGCAGCAGGTGGCACAGAAAGAGACAGGGTATGTTACTGGACATCTGCTCAGGCAGTGGCGGAGAATTTGTGATTGGAAAGTGAGGGGGAAACTGGGTTCTGCCCTGCTCCTGGCCTCTCCAGGGACAGTGAAGAGCCTAAAAGAGATAGAATTGGTCCAGCAGTGTGTAACAGCCTGTTTTGGGAAACATCAGGGTGCATCTGTGTAAATAGAGATCAGTGCCCAGAACTACTCTGAGTTACTCTGGGCAAAGCAAAAGAAGTGAGCTTATCCGAGGCGTGTTTTGTTTTTCCTCTGCAGAGGCATAGTTTGAGGGTTCCCTTTTTAAGCAAGGGGGAGCTTTCCTGACGGGATCGTGTGTGGTGTGTAACTCGTCGCCCGCAGTCCTTCAGGGGAGGCCTTCTCGGTCCTGGAAGGGAGCTTGCTGGATGGAGTGCCTGCGAGGGAGAGAAACAGAGATTGCTTTTGGTTTGTAGAAAGCAAGGCCAGCGCTGATTGTGTAGCTGCCTGAGAGAGAGAACAAGATTTGCTGGATGGATTGGTTTGCAGACAGCAAGGCAAGAAGGGGCCACTGATGCCAGTCTGTGGCCCAAAAAGGATTAGGGTTAAGATCTGGTAAAGGGAAAGGAAAGCGGGACGTTAGGAAAGCACCAGGAAGCCTCTGCTCCAGAGTGGTGCCTGCCTTGCTCCTCCATGCAGGCTGTTGCCTAAACAGTAGCATAGCCATGCCTATGTGGTGCTTAACAGTGTCACTAATTAGTGTTCCTGTGCTAATCAGGCAGGGGTCTTTTGTTTTAGGATTGCACTGGTTGCCTGATTGGGGCATGTTCAAAACACACCAGGACAACTGCATCGTCTGCTTTCCAGGATCTGGCATGCCATCCTGGCCTCAGCAGAGAGGTGGTGTAGATGTGCCCTGAGCCCCTTAGGTGCTGAATGTAGCTGTCGTGGGTTTGTCCCCTTCGTTCCAGTCTTTTCCTAAATCATGCAGCTTTGGAGTCCATCACTTTGTGTCAAAGCGACTAAAAATTGCATGCAAACATCGTCCCAGACTGATGACGGGCTCTTGTGCCTCTACTGTGCTCCATCATTCATGTTCTTTCGGGCTTTCGCTCTGTCTCTATGAGATCACCCAACTATGCCGAGCCAAGCTGGGGCTGAACTCATGAACTAAGCCGAGAGGAGCATTTCCAGGGCTTGAAAAGACCCAGGTGCTACAAAAACTGCTTTTGACAATGTGGCAGATGGCTCTCTTCTCAGTCGGCGTTTCTCAGATGCTCTAGCATAATGCTCATCCATTAATAATGTACTCAATTGAAACGACAAGAAGAATTAAAAGGGCCGATTATAATTAGCCCAGTCATGACTGAATTCCAAAAGTGCGGGTAATTAGTTTCTGCTCCTCTATATTCCCCTTTTATTAATAATAATGTGCAACTATTGTATAAGTCATTCAGTTGCAGAAGTTGTACCAAGGCTTTTGTTTCCATGCATGGTTCAGGTGCTGCTGTGTTTCACGGTAGAGGCATCTCTGCTTTAAACTAGAGATGAAGTGATTGCTATTCATAACATTTGTGAAGAGTTTTAGGGTCTGCTGATGGACCACACTGCATACATGTCAAGTCCCTATCCTGACTTGGGGGGCGGTATCTCAATCATTTTATGAGGCCTTTAGAAACTCCCTTCCTATAGCAGGACAGTTGGCACCTGTCTAGCGCAGACTCCACGAGGCCCATTTTAAACATCTATGCCACCCCTGAAGTATTTATAATAAAAGCATAAGGCCAAAAATAAAGAAGGAATGTGAGGCCTTTCAAGGCCGTCTTATTTTGGTGAAATGTTCCCTCCTTTGCTTGACATTCCCAAATAACCTAAGAAACGCTCTTCGCGAATCTCTTTTTTTTAGCAATTAAATAAAGATTTCTTTTTCCCCACAAAAAAGCAGGGAGCAAAGTCTTAAACACTTTTGCACTATGACATTACAACTGGACTTTCTGCCACTAAGAGTAAGGCAGAGGTCTGAACCCTGATCCACAGGCCAGGTGAGCTGAAGGAAAATCCCATTGATCTCCCTGGGCCCCTGTGGAAAACAGATAAGAGGTACACTTTAATTTTTGCTCAAGTTTTTCTACTTTTTGCTGTTGTCCCCTTCAAAAAAAAAGCCCCTTGGTGTCTTTCTGTGTTTTAGGAGACATTCTGCTTCAAGTTAAAATTATTTTTGTTTATATATATTTAAGTATTTTCCAGATTTCTGGCCAGCTGAGCAAAAAGATTAGATTTAATTGGCACGGTCATGCATGAAATTATTTCTTTTCAGGCAAGTAATGTTACCAATTGACATGAAGAGAAGAAATT